ATCCGCTTTCTACCCGCACAAGTTAGGCTGACAATCAAAAGATGACGTATCGGTAGCTCAACCACGTACCAATATCTTCAACGCGACATCCCCAACACCTTCCGGAGCCTCAACGACCATCGCTCGATTAGGCTTATCCGCCTTATACCACGTACTGGGCTGGAGTGCCCCAAAGTACCCCACGAGCTCGCCAGTGACTTGGTCAAAGAGCTGGATCCGCGCGTTCAGAGGTGCCATGAGAAGAGAAAAGGTGGATGAGTGCGTCGAGTTTCACAGACATACTGCACGTTCACTTAATGTATTTATCTACGATCACCACCTTCCGGCCCGCACCCGAGACTCCTGAAGATCCACACGGACTTTAGCGTGCTTCAGACCCCATAGCTCATCGATTTGACCGCGGGTTTGCCATGTGCGGTATAAGTGTCTCCGTCCCTTCGGATGATCTGCATCTTCGCCGCGTCTAAACAGAAGGAACTATGGACCCCCCATGGTTCAAGTCCTTCGACGGCACAACCTTAATGAACTCAATAAATCTAAACCTGAGAGCTCAGGGATCTAGCTATCTTACCGCGACTCCCGGAGAAAGGGGGTTGAGAGGTCCGTGTTTTCCTCGATGGGGACTCGGATAACAAGAATCGAACGGGGTATTTGAGCCGGGGCCGGAGACATAGCCGCTGATGGGCGCAGAGAACCTGCTACGCATATTTCCGTAGGATGGAAGTACAGACCAGCGAACCCTGAGTCAAATCTGATTCTGCAGCGTGTCCCGACTAGGTGATGAGGTGGTAAGCGTTTAAATCTCATGGCCCCTCAGCAAGAGCTAGTCCATTTAGAGTCCGGAGCTCGAATACTGCTCTGGTCATTATCTTTGCTTTGAACTTTTATGCTTCCGGTTCTCAGTCCAGCTCTGGCCCTGGAGACTCGGACGGGTATTCAGCTTTTCCCGTGGCAGCGCTCCGTGGAAGAGTTTATAGTTGAGGTAAGTACGTACGCTCTCATTACACCAAAGGTCTGTGGCTATTCTGCCACTCGACTCGGAGTTAGCCAGGCCGGCTAGACCACTCATAGGCTAGTCGCGCCCTGCCGATCAAGACTATTGGCTCAGGGTAGAGGAGGGCGGCCCGTGACTCGTTGACGCTGGAATGCCTTTCCTTGGACAATTAATACCGCTTCTGGGCTCGAAGTCCGTAGATCTCAAGCAAGATACAAATTACTTGACCACTCATGCCAAGGTCACTTTTCCTGGTAACTTTCCTTTTATGGACATCGTCGCCGATTTGGTAGCAGCTCAGACCGGGTGGCGTAGTTGGTCAGCGCGTGAACCTTACAGCAGAAAGGCTATTGAAGTTCAAGGTCCTGAGTTTGAGCCTCAGCCTGGTCATCGCTTTTCCGGCTCATGTCGATGGGTGAACTGAGGGCTGAGAGGCGGTGAACAACACCGATGTATTAAGTCTCATCACTCCAGTAAATAACACTGGTAATATGGAATTGCTACTTATATTTTTATCATCGATCATCCTTTGCAAAAGCACTCGTTGATGTCATTATATCATGAGACAGCTCTCTCCACAGCGTTTCGCTCCAGCCACTCTAAAAGGCAATTTGCCCTCGGCCGGTTAGCCCACCAAGGCTTCCATGCATGCATTAGTGCGACTCATCCAGCTCAAGTCCGTCGATATCTTCATCCAACTGCGCTTCATTGAATTGGTGAGGCGCGACGTCCCCGTCGCTACCCATAGTATCTGCGCCTCCCTCGTCGGCATCGCTATCTAAAGTGCGCTGTGCGTAAGACTGTGCTGAAGCTCCGGCATCGTCACGTAACCTACCAATTATTTCGAGCTCGTCACCATCCACCGTTTCCAAGTCAACTTCCGAGTCGTGAATGTCTATTCCTGGCTGTGGATCCTGGTTAAGTGAAGAATGGTTGAGAAGACTATGGGCAATAATCATCGAGCATCTATCACCCACCATATCAATGACATTCTTCGTTCGCTTATAACGGCGGCGAGCAGTGCCTAGTGCCGAGTGTTTCAGGGCCCTTTGCGACCATGGTTGGCCTTCGACTGGTGGTTTCAAAAGCCAACTGGTGACAGTCTGGTAGCGCAGCCTCTCAAACATGATCGGATCTCTACGCTTTGTTTCCGCCACGATTTGGCGAGCAGAGTAAGGATAGCCAACGGTGATGGCAGCAGAGGAGATGTGATTCCACAAAGTGCTAGAAAACCAATTAGTTCTTGGCCCTCGTCCCTGATGGGGGCTCTTTGTCCGGAAAGCCTCGATTTGCAGAAGACATTGACTAGTTGAGGCCGTGTCTGAGGGGTCTGGAACGAAAGGGCGGGAGTTCAACAATGTGGTACGTGAAGGAATTTTGGCCTTGCGAAACGCAAGATAAGAAAATCGGTAAGGAAATTAGCAGTATCCCAAATTGAAGCACTGTATCTGCGTACTAGAGTGATATCTTGAGGGTTGAGCTTCGTTGGGATTGCGTGCAATACCGTTTTGAGCTCATTGGTTCCTCGCTTACGCTTACGTGCCTCCAAAACCTGAAGCGTATTTGAGTCTTCAAAAACCCTGCCCTTTGTATCTGTGGTACGATGCCACGAAGAAGTATTGTCCAAAGGGGGTTGCATCTCGGATGGAGAGTGCGACGAAACCAGCTGCGACGTCATAGGACCTTGTCGCCCTTCAACAAGTGTTGAGCTCAATGTAGATACAGAGTTTTCAAGAGGATAAACCGCCAAAGCAGTTGATCGAGACGGAAGAGCATCCCGGTCAAAGTCTTTATCGACGTCTGTGTTCAAGCTGACTTTAGAACCAACTTCATGAGAGGTTGCGGAAGGACCTGAGTTTCGAATCATGTCATCGTCAAAGATTTGTGCTCCCTCAAAAGATGTTGAGGACTTGGACTGAATGTAGGTAAGGAAGCGAAAGGACATCAGTGGGTCCTGGCTGGTCACGCGACAAAAGGCTTAGCGACTTACCAACTGTAGGTGGTGACTTGCGACTTGACCGAACCATTGCATTCGTATCAGACCCTTTCTAGACGATGTCCAGAGCTCAGTATCCTGAGGCCAGACACGATGCTCGATGGCGTTGATGGCGCAAATCGCGCTTGAGTAATCGTCATCCAATTCCTGAAGTCCGATAGCAAATGGTTCGGCCTCTTCGAATTTGCCAAATCCGTCAAGCCATCGCATAATCCCATTCATAACTGGGTTGGGTCGCGTGCCGGTCGGATTCGAGTCACCAATGGACCAAGTTCTCCGAGCAAAGTCCACTTCCACCGCGATCCAGTGAGTTCCACCACAATGGACCGGAAAAAGCAGCACTTCAAGGCCTTGTAGATCCAGTTGCTCATAATCTATTAAAATCTGACTCTTCTCGTACGGGTTCTCGCCCAATTTGAGGAGGGCCGATGCGATCTGAAGCGCTCCAATCTCATACTTTCCGTCCTTTCGGCAATCCCGTCTCACCATCGACACAAGACAAGCAGCCATCGCGTCTACCAAGTCACTACTGAGGCTCTCGTCGGTAAAAAATACTGCCAAGTTTGACAAAAGGCTTGCTCCACTCCCTAACAAAGGACCCTGGAAAGGGAGGGAATGAAAAAGAGTCCAAATGAAAGCGATGATGTCTTCAACGTCGCTAGTCAATGAATCTGAAAGCTGCTACAGGCAGATGGCGGGTAATTGGACTTACGGTGGCCAGACTGGAGGGGGAAATGAAGGACGTACCTTCTTTATTCTCCAGGACCCTACGGTGAGCCAGCGTTCCGCGCTGACCCATGTTGCCTGCGCGTCATGGACGGCAATGACTTCTGCCCACCAGGTCACAATCCACAAAGGAAGTCGAGCGGTGGGGCACATGGGGTCGATGACTGACCGTCTGTACCCAAGAGCGTGTCGGACTTGTACTTCGAGGGCACGGACAAGGGATGGGGGAGGAACGGTAGTGCTTAGAAGATAGTCCAATCCAATCCGTGACGGTGGGTCATGGCTCAGCAAGGTTGAAGGAAAAGCAGTGGATGGCGTGGAGCGAATCTCGGGGATCGCTGTCTGTAAAAGAGTCGCGATAGATGTTTCTGGGAGAGAAAGGGGGAAAGTGAACTCGCGAGGAACTTTCAGGTAGGTCGTATCGGGTAAAGAGTTGAGCACATCCAAGAGCTGCAGAGCCCAGGACGGGTCGGGAGTATCAGAGCTGGAAGCCATGAGTGATGGGGGTACGATGAAAGAACAATTTGAGAACAATTCGACTTTTTCGTAAAAGGGACTCAAGGTGGTACGTGACGTGGGAGCGGTCACGCCTGAACACGCCTGAACCGGTCACGCGAAGTTCAAGGCAAACCATGGGTGGACAATGAATGATGTCAAATAGAAATGAGAAACCGCATAAGAGGGATCCGGTCCTCGAGCCTCGTAAGTATTTTAAACAACGGGCTCCAAAATCAGTCTCTATCGAATTGAAAGGATAAGTAAGATCAGTAAGTACAGGAGATCGGGATGTAAACTAATAAAGCACACACCACTCGAGGACTGGACTCCTGCATTCTTGGAACAGACTTCAACAAAACTTGAGGGACACCTAATATTGAAGTTATGGACTCGTGAACCAACTCGTCGTCCAATCCTCGTCCCGGCCCCACGGCATGGCGATTCAAAACGAACGACAACCACGCGAATCCAACTGCCCAACGCGGAATGCCAGATACACCAAAGCAAACGAAATAAAAACAGGGAAGCGATGAATGAGAAATAGCAGCATATCTTTTGGGGAGAATCTTAGGCATGAAGGACACTTACCTCCGGGACCTCCCTTGGCTAATGCTTGCAACTCAGGGTCTCCACAATCCAAGACGCCTTGCAAGCTCCAGGCCTTCAGCTGGGGCTGCTTCGGCTCGTCCCAAGGATCAAATAGCTTTCCATCTGGAGGAAAAGAATTAGAGCGTGATAAATTAAAAGGAATCAAATCATCCTCCCCAAGACGTAAACTCGATCGGGCGTACCTTGCGTGCATGCTGTGACATGGTAGCACCCAGTTACGCCCTGCGAGACTTTGGGTCCGCTGAGCAGACAAAGAAAAGGGGGCTCGTCATTGGGCCTTTTGAACGATTTCTAATCGACATAAGAGGTCGTTTGTCCAAGGAAAGGTGTTAGAGAACTTCATTCCGACCTTAGCCTAGAGACACTTCTCCGGGCGAATAATACACACCCCACTCACCTCCAACTTGATTATATCCCTGGGTTGACCCTCCGTCGTCGTGAAAGGAAACTCGATCGTCAAAGCTTTATCTACGTTCTCTGGCGCGCAAACGGCACAAGGCAAGCGGGCGCAAAGGTATCCAATGTGTTTCATGGTGAAGTAGTCGACTACTTTGATCCGAACTTGCTTTGGGCTCTTGGCCCATGCCTGCTGGGTGGCAGATTCGGGAGCGGAACCTGGGTTCATCTGCGTACTGGAAGGGGAGTTGTTGAGATGGAAAACGCGAAAGAACATGGACAAGCCTTCGCTCGCGTACGGGTTAATCTCCGAGCACCCGTGACGCAACCGGCAATTGAGATTTGGGGAGGTCCGAGAAAAATGTTGTCCGAAAAGCATCAACGACACACGAAAGAAAGGAAAAAATTGCGCGAAGGATGCGCTTGTATAAATTTTGAGAGAGTGACAGAGTACAAAGGATGATACAGGTGGCAGCGATTCAACTAGAGAATTTTTTATGATTCCAAAAAAGAAGGGCCAACCATCCAACCGGGACCAGATCCAACGTCCTCTGCCGATGAGTCCCTCGCTTACAAGCACTGGGAGTAGTAAGCGTTGGAGTAAGTGCAAGTGTAAGGCGAAGCGCAGACGGTGGGTCCGGTGTAGCCTTGGCCGCCGCACTGTGGAAAGAGAAGGGGAAAGAGGGATAGATTAGCATCGGTATTCAGAGCATTAGACGGAAAAGATGAACGAACCTGGCCGTAGTGAGTCTGAGTAGCACCGGTGGTGGTAGTGGTCTTGGTGGTAGTAGTGGTAGTCTTGGTAGAGGAGGTGGTGCTGATGGGCTTGGTGGTGGTGGTGGTGGTGGTAGTCTTGGTCGACGAAGTGGAGGTGGAGGTCTTGGTGGTCGTGGTCGAGGACTTGGAGGTCGTGGTGGTCTGAGCAGTGCCGGAGTAAGTCGAGCCGATGTCACCAACACGGATGTTCGAGTAGGTAACGGTGGCGCTGGCAGCGCTAGTCTCGATATCAGCGGGAACACCAGAGGTGGTCGGGCAGGTACCACGGTAGCATCCGTCCTTGGTGCAGTCAGT